TAAGTTTGATAGAATTGTTACCCAAAAAAGTAGTTCTTTTGTAGTTCTTTTTATGCAGTTTTAATCAAGTTTATGGTTATAGTGGATAATAAATCACTCATAAGGCTGAGGTCTAAAAAACAAGATCAAAACCAACAAAAAAATAAATACTCATTAAATTAATTATACACATATAATTAATTTAATATATATAATTATCAACTAAATTCAAAGAAAATTCTGAAATCATAAGATTTGGATTTAATGAGTTATGATCACATGTTCTTGTCATATATGAAAAGTAACAGATCTGTAATTGTAGTAAATCGTGATTAAATGGAAATATAGTCTGTCTGCTGGACATAGGCGCTCTATATGATCTGTTAACTTGGTCAAATATAACTCCGCCTGTAACTGTAAGGTCCTCTGTAATAATTTACTCCTTCACTCTGAATCTGATGTTTACTATAAAAATCACGTTTGTGATGCTTGCACGAAAAAAAATTGTCTAAAAAAATGTTAGGTTCCCTGATTATTATTATTATTGTTATTATTATTATTATTATTATTATTATTATTATTATTATTAACTTTAATTCCTTTTTAGATATATTGTGCCATTAATTTGTGTGCCAATTCATATACGAGTGCAAAATTCAAATCAAGTCATTCCAATACAACTCAATCATTCTGACTCCCACTTAAAATATTACACCCATTTATTTATTTATTTATTTATTTATCCTTTCTGATGAGCTCAACATTAGGCCCGCCGTCGTTCGCGCGCTCCCGACGTGTCCGCCTCTGTTTGCGCGCGTGCGCTTCGGGTTACTTTTGTGTGCGGATAATTAGCGGATAATTCCTGGATCATTAGAGCCCTTTCTGCGGCTCGGCGGTGAAAGTGTGTGAGACAGCCTCAGATCAAAGTGAAATCTGTCGGGATGTGTTCAGGTTCACGGAGCTGCGGCGGAGGTTAAGGCCGACAGCGAGCCGTGAAATCCGGCAAGGCCGCGCGGAGCGAGCCCCTTCCCCGGCTGCTATCACATGCGGAAAGACCCGGTCCTGGGAGTCGAGGTGATGCACTGACCTACAGACAGTATCAAAATATACAAGTATAAATAATTAAGTAGATAAATAAGTAAACAAAAAGGCAAGTACCTATCTAGAAATTAATAGCTTGGTTTTTTTTTCTTTTTTTTTAACAATTAACAGTTAATTATTTTTGAGAAGGTATCGACATAAATAAATATATTTAAAACGTATGCATAAAAACTTCATAATAAACGAATAAACTATGAAAATAATCCCTCTGGAGTCGCGTCCCATCAGGAACACAATGTTAACTGTTAGCCTTGTTAGCATAGAGCTGCTCGGACTTTTGACGGCGTCGTTTTGGTGATTTATCGGCTCCTCATTCAGGCTGAGCTGCTCCGGTTGATCCTCTGCTGGAGGCGGCTGGCCGCTGCTCAGCCGCTGCTCAGCCGCTGCTCCTGGAGCTTTATTCCCCCTGAAAAATCAGATATTTCGGGACCTGGACAGGCTTTAAAAACTACAACATAAAAAGGAACATTTAGATGGAGTTAAGTATTATCTATTGTGTTCAAATTTCAATCTGCTGTATTAACTTGTGAAAGCATTTAACATTTTACCAGCATTAAATTATTTTGGTGAGATGGTATGTTTTTTGTTGTTTTCATTATATTATTATGAACTCATGTAAACTAAATAAATGTGAAAGTTTCTGTGTTAAAGCAAAACTTTATGATTCGATCTAGTTTCTAGTTTTCTAACAGAGCTCTCATAACGCCGTTGCGCGCTAAACTTTTCTACTGCTTAATGTCATGTGAAGTCAGTGGAGGTTACAGGATGTTTTATGCAGAATAGTTTGTTTGTTTGTTTGTTTGTTTGTTTTTTCAGGACAACCTAATTTTATATAAACTGATTAAAACAAAAATGAGTATTTGGAAGTTTTCTCAAAATGTCATCTATATAATATAAATATATATATTATTCTCGTGTGTATCATCCAGAGAAGGCGGGGCTCGTCGTCCGGGTAGCGACATGAATGTTGAGCCCAAACTTACTTACAAGCTGAGGCAGCTGCTGCACATCTTTCTTTTTTTCTTGTTGTCAAGGAAACGGTTTTTACACGCCATCGTTAAAATATATTTAAATGATTTTGTCAAAAGTCAGTTCCTTTTTTCCTTTTGTTTTTTCTTAACATGAAGAACAAAACTGATCCTGTCATAAGTTAGACTTTCTCTCATTTCTCTCAGTAAGTTTGTTTTAAACACTTTAACTTGTTTATTAAAGTATCTATTAGTTAAAACATTTAAATTCAAATTTATTACAGACCTTGAAACTTCTGATCACTGTTCATGCACAAAATAATTTACAACAAAGTAAAAATATCAAATCAAGTGTTTAAATACAAATCAATATCTATTTCTAAAAAAAATAAAAACGTATTATTATTATTATTATTATTATTATTATTATTATTATTATTATTATTTATTATTTATTTATTTATTTATTTTGCTGAAACCTCTTTGTTAACCCAATGAACAATCAAAATCAAATGAGTCAGAACCTGAAGTTTTATGGAATTAGATTCTATATTTCAATTCAATTTTGTTTATTTTTTGCACAGTCAAATAACAACAGATATTATTTGACAGAACTGTTCAAGGACATGTCCAATTCATATGGAGTTACCCAGAATACAGTTTGGTCCAAATTCGGTGAAAACCATTTTCATTTTGTTGTCCGTATGATGGCCGGTTGAGGCAGAATGTCATGAAACAGTGAAAATATTATAATGTTCTCTGTGTTCAAATGAAATTATATTTAACATCTTTTTACAATTATGTAATTTGACACTGTCCAAATAAAAACTGATTTCTTTTGACTTATAAAATAATATTTAAGCACATAATTATTGTCTTAAAGTTCTATTTGTGCGGCCCTCTAGGGGGTCATGGAGGGCCGCATTTGGCCCACAAGCCTTGAGTTTGACACATGGCTTAGATGAATTCTAGCCAAGAGAAAACAACCATATCACACATTTACTTTATCATGTAAGGCTAAATAGGAACTAGTCGCATATCTACAGTATAACTGGATATGAACAGAACCTATTTTTTCCTGTAATAGGAAGAAATTTGGCTCTCAGAACTGAACTAAACTGAATTAAAATAGATTTATCAACCGATCAGTTTGGACATGAAACCATATCAAGTTCTAATTACAGTAACTCAGAGTTTCTACGTATTAAACCAGCCTTCCAACTGATCAGCCTTAACTGACAAAACAAAATGATTTGGACGTTCAAACTGACCTTTAGCAATCATCAGCCAAAAAGCAAATATTTCTTGTATTCGTCGGTTTTATTTGAAAATGACAGAATAAGTTAAGAACATGCATGCAGAATCAAAACCAACAAAGACCGAAAACACAACAAGGAGGTGCAGCAAGAAGAGAGGGCAGGGTGATAAAACAGGGCAAATCTTTCAGAAAGAAAATAAAAATCCAAACAAAGAAGAGAACAGCACTCGCTCCTTTCATGCAGATGGGAATAACGACGTGGCCTGGAACAGGAAGTGATTGTGTCGAGTCATCAAACATCGATTCAGGATCAGAGTGATCATAAAGCTGCTCCCTAACCAACCTCCAGTCGAGCAGACCGTGTAGTGCGGCGTGTTCCTCTGATGAGCCTCCAGTGTCAGAGGTCACACCAGAGCACCTGAACATGTAACACCATGTAGCAAACGCCGGTGTGTTTGTGTGTGTTAAGCAGTGTGTTGTTCTGACATTGCAGCTCGGAGGATTTTTTCTGCTGGTGAGATGGTTGGAGCGCTGCCACGGTTCTGCTGGCTCTGCTGCGGCGTGCGCTGATACAGGGCTGTAGGATTAGTCTCTCTGTTTTGGGTCAGAGACAGGAAAAAGAAATACAAATTTTAAAAGGGAAAAATAATCTTTTCTTCTGTATGGATGCCATGGAAATGAACACACGAGGTTCACTTGAACTATGAGTACTGCTGTCATTTACTCGCTTAAATAATACTAATTTACAAAAAATATGAAATATCATTTCATCTGTTTTACACATGTCTGTTGTCTAACTAAATGATGACTTTCGTTCTCTAAGGGAATATATTTACAAAGTATGTGAATACTCTGCATAAACTCTTCAGATCCACTTCTCCCAGTGATTGAGCTTCATGAGTCATTTGACGAACAGAAATCTAATTGGTTTCTGATAATCAAGTTGAAGTTCTGGTCAGGCAGAACACAAAAAAGAAATTTTTTATGTTGTGTGACTGAAGTCTGCTTTAGTTCATCTTAACGAGATCAGTTCATGTTCAACTACAGAGAGAGAGAGCTTATTATTGATCAGCCATCCTCATCATTTATATAGATCCCTCCCCAAAACCCCTCCGTCTTTTATTTTACACAAATCGACCCCTTAAATAAAACACCATTCATGTGTCCAGACTGAGGGCTGCGACCCCTCAGGAGGTCACTAGAGATCCAAAGGAGGTCGTGGGAGAAATAAATCCTCATCATCCTCTACAGAGAAATATGGTTTCTGATCTTGGTTCTTGATCCTTTCTGTAAACACCGGCACAATAGGCACATTATCATATCCAGGTGACCTCTGACCTCAGACTGGTTGAACACAACTGGGACAGAATGTGGATGATTTGGCACGTTCTGGACCGGCAGAACTGAAGGCTTGGAGCTTTTAGTTTAACTTGCTTTTCAGCCTCGCTCATCAGCTTCTGCCTTAGCAATGCACTAATTCTTAAAAAATGAGTTATTTAGTTTGGATAGTTACGTTTTGTATGCCACTGAGCACAACCAACATCTGTGTGTGAAGCTGCAGTGATTCAATGAAAATGAACATGATATTTTGGGGATATTGTCAACATTTTGTGACAACAGGTGTAACTGTAACAGTCTGACCCAGTCTGCATTGGGTTATATGGTACTATCAACAATAAACCGAAATAAAGAGATGGCACTCTGTATCATCATGTTGTCCATAAAGAAAATCATAATACCTGTCAGTCTTACACCAACACTTGAATTAAGGAGCAAGGAAGACGTCTGATAATCTATCTCAGAAGTTCTGCAAAGTTTGACTGTTTAACAAAAGAAAAAAAATTGATTTTTATTTATGAAAAGATAGTTTACCTATTTGGATGATTCTACAGTGAGAGGAACGATGGAGCCTCAACCAGATCAAACATTCCAATGCTGATTTCGTCTTGTGCCCCTTAAATGTCACTCCAGAAACACCTACATGCAAGTCAATGGGTCCATGAGGATACCGGTGTCCTCATGGCAGGTAACCAATCCAGAGGTTATGTTTTGAATCAAACAGCATGCCCCAAACCAGACTAAAGCATTTCAAGCAACAACAACTTCACTAAAGGTCAAAATGTTTGGAATTATGCAACAGAAACGATCCATCAGTGCTATAGTCCAAATTCCGCAACAGCAACATTCCTCCAGATCCTGAGCTCACAGATCTTGGCCTGTTTTGGAGGCATAAATGTGACCAATGAGATCCTGCATTGATGTTTTTAGAACTGAAAGTATCTTAAAAGCATGAAAGAAGACCACAGACCTGGGGTCAGTTTTAATTTGCTGAGGATTCATATGTCAGTGTCAAGGTTTGGTCACAGTGCGGGGAGTTCTCTTTAGCTTACAGGTCAGTATCAACACTATCAGACAGGAAGTCCAGGACAGCTGCATGCAGAAGGTCCAAGTCCAGACAGGAAGTGCGCGCCATTCAGCGGCTACGATGAGCTGTTCAGGAGCGGTCTGGGGTACATGCCCTGGTAGTAGGAGGCCTCAAGAGGCTCCATGGTCCTCCCCCCAAGACCAGATGCCCCCCCACCATTGTAAGAAGAGTACTGCAGAGCCTCATAGGCCTTCAGGTCCAGTTTGTGCTGCTGCTCCGAGGACGACATTAAGTTGTTGATGGAAAACGGGTGGTTGAAAGAGTAGTGGGGGTCTCCTTTTATATGCAGAGGAGTTTCATGGGCCATGGAGTGCGGAGGAAGTGATAGGGAAGACAGTAACTGAGAGCTGGATACCTTCAGGTCAGACACACCTCCAACTCCTCCCCTCAGATCCAGGCCGGCAGGGGAACCCGTCTGGCTGGAGGAGGCCACAGATGAGTCCAGAAGTCCGGCAGGTTTGGTAGAATCTCCGGCAGGAGAGGTACAACGGCCACCCCCTGCTCCCATATGCTCCTTCCTCCCATCTGGTTTCCCTGGAGTCTTCTTCTCGCACTTAAATCTCTTCTGACGTCGCAAGTAACAGCCATTCTCAAACATGTTGCCTGAGTCTGGGTGTAGGGTCCAATACGAACCTTTTCCCGGTTTGTCGGGCGAACGGGAAACCTTGACGAAGCAGTCATTGAAGGACAGCGAGTGGCGGATGGAGTTCTGCCAGCGTTGCTGGTTTTGCCGATAGTAGGGGAACAGGTCCATGATCCACTGGTAGATCTCACTCAGAGTCAGCATCTTACTTGGTGCCTGCTGGATCGCCATAGTGATGAGTGAGATGTAGGAGTAAGGGGGTTTTGCGTGAGGGTAGCTCCTTCTGAACGTCTTGTTGTCACGGCTTCGGTTCAGTCCACCACTACCGTACGCCATGCCGGAACCCATGTTAGGACTCATGCTTCCATACGGGTTCAGACCCAAGGAAGCCTGCTGGGCCGACACCGAGTTCATACTGGACGGGCTCAGAGGCCCACCCATGGAAGCCACACCCCCACCTAAGCTCGACATAGGCGCTTGAGCAGAGCCCCCCATCCCTCCTACAGGGGACGGACTGAGACCGGTACCGCTATACGACATGTTGAAGGAGCCTGACGTGGTGCCACCACTCGACATGTAGCCAGACATGGACGCCATTCCGAGACCAGAACCCATCCCGGTGCCTGCCATTGGAGAGTACACCTGCAGGGAGGACAGAGGACAAGTTAACTTTCATTTGAAGATGGAGTGGACAGAAGTGGTAGACTCAAGAATCTGTCAGGATGGTTTACAGTCAGGTTCAACTAAAGGTCAACATTGAGCATCAATGCTGAAATGCCATCACTTGTTTAAAAAACTGTATCATAACCTGCTCTCTGGTTGGAGCCATCAGAAGTAGAACATTCTGGGCCAGCACGAGTTTGCTCAAAAGAACGAGGGTCATTAAACCAGGACCATGTGGACCAGATCAAATTTTCCCATTTCAACATTTCCTATGACTTCACCACTTACTCTGCACACACCAAGGGTCCACAGATAGATTTTATGACTATTTCAGGTTGGCCAGACCTTGTCTTTATGTAGCCTAAAAATATATAGAACCCTTTCTGGGCCCAAAGGTCCCATCCACATTCAGCCTGGACAAAGTTAGCCCACCTGTACAGCAGCCAGCCCACAACGTAACCCCAATGTAACATCAGAAAACGTCGGTATGTGAAAGTCTTTTCACCTCAAACTTAACTCAGAAGGCAGTGTTTCTCTTTTTTTGTTTAAACTCAATAAAAAAAATTCATTTAAGGAATCAACACCACCTGATTGCTTCCTTAGCGCAATCAAAGTGGTGAAAACTCATCAACATCTCACACACACATTGCTGAAGTTACCTGCAATCCAAACACATGCATGTTCGGTTAAGTGGACAGTCTAATTTGTCCACAGTCTAATTTGTCCTTGCATCATGTCCAGTGTGTCTCTGTGTGTCCCTGTAATGGACTGGTGCATGTCCCCCATCTCTGGCCTGGTGAGCGCATCTGTCCAGT